AATAACCAATGCTGGTGGTGGAGGAGGTAGAGCTGGAGAAGCAACAATGGGACTAACCGTAGTAGCAGCAGGCCGTGTTGGTGGTGGAGAATCAACCACTACCACCACCGGCGGTGTCGGAAGCAGTGGGGGAGTAACTGGTGTTGCAACAACAGCTGCATGTGGGGGAGAACAGGAGGTGAAGTTAGTGGCGGCATTGATATCGGAGCCAAATGCGGTGCGAGTAAAGGAGGAGAAACATAAACTGGTGGTGGTGGTGGAAGTGGGTGCTGCACCACTGAGCGGTGGTGAAATGATGGAGGGGGAATCAAGGGGAGAAGGAGACAAAGAGGGAGATAACAACACTGTAATGAATTGTTTAGTGGTTCCACAACCTCCACATGCAAATCACTGTATAACCCATGATTTTTCTCCCGGTGGTATTCATAGCTGGAAAGTTTTTGATATATATATATATATATATTTGCAGAAACCATCAAAACCAATTACTACAAGAAGATTTGGCATTTTTCCAAAAAAAAAAAAACACCTATACCCTATATATTTCTTTGTCAGGCATCATTCATACTATTTTTCTTGATCTAACATCCTTTGCAGTAAGACATGTCCCCTGTAACGCGTTTTACGTTGATCTGACACCACGTGGGTAAGGCACGCTCCCTGAAGCGCGCTTTATGCTGAATTGGTATACACGTGTGTAAAACGTGATCCCTGCGGCGTGCCTTACCTTTAAATTTGAAATGCGTTAGAAAGACGCGCCCCATGCGACACGCCTTAGATTTAATTACCCACCTACCTCGGTTGTTCACACCTCCACTCCCTCTTTATAAATACTCCCATTCTTAATCACTTTCATCACACCAAATCTTTTCAACTTCTCTCAAATACTCTTATATTTTCTTATAACTGTTTCGGAGGAAAAAAAGCCCAAGAATCTGTATCTTCTCCTTCAACAAGAACAAAAGCAACTGGAAGAATGTTGCGATTGCCATATTGGACAACTGTCAATAATAAAACTTGTTTGTATTTTTCATACAAGAAAGTCTCGTCGATCTGAACCACATGCTTGCAATATTTGACAACATTAACGCACTGTGGGTAAGTCCAAAAAACCCGGTAGAATTGGCATCGATCGCGAAGAACTCGATCATTATGGTATGCATAGAAGGTTTCGAAGTCCACAATTATCCCAAGATTCAACCTTCGCACCAACCTAAACCGGCCTGGAAGTTCGTTGTAAGATGCATCCCATTCGCCATGAAGTTTGACAATAGCTTTTTGTTTTGCCAACCAAGCTTTTTTATAGGAGACAGTGTATTCATACTGCGATTGTATAGCTGAAATCAATACAACAACAACTATATGAGAGTTTGCTTTTACCATGGGCATGATTGCTTGGCATATCACTTCAGAGTCCAAGTTGGGATGATCTTGGTTGACCCCTCCAGCACAACATATGTGAGGATCATTGTATATTGTTAGTTCCCATCTGTTACTTTTCCTCTTCCTCTTCGATATGCAAACCATCCAATTGCATCCGTTTTCGCGTCGGGCACAGTAGCATACATATTTTTCTGTCGTGGACCGGTCGACTCTCGATTGAACAGAATTACGGATATTGTAATTTTTTGTAGCCATCATCACTTCTTCTTTGCTTGAAAACTCCATGCCTAAAGATAACTCACCATTATTTATTGATGAGTAATATCCATAGTTACCGAGATGAGGCATATCCGTAAATTCTGGCCCATACATTGCACCATAATCAGCTTCATACATGTGTGATAGAGGGTCCGTTTGTGCCACATTTGAGGGAATCTACATCATCATCGTAGTTGAATTGCGGTGTTTCTGGGTGAATGAATATTCCAGTCTCAGCACCATCCGCACCAGGCTCACGAAGCGGTTCTTCTGGTGGAGATGATGGTTCCTCCATGCTCTCCACATTTAGGTCGAAGAACCTACTACTTGCACGCCTTCCCTTTTAACTGGAAGGCATATCGACATTCAGATCGAAAAAGCTCGCAGTCGAATGCCTCCCCCTAGAGCTTGAAGTCATCGTGTCAAATGGAAACTGCACAGATTGTTGCGTCGATGGCATCTCCATATTAAGGTCAAAGAAATTTGCAGATGAATGTCTTCCCCTTGAATTGGGCGCGATGTTGTCATACGGATTGTTCATAGACCCACCTCGGTACATATCGTAAGGAGTTGCAGATAAATGCCTCCCCATTGAAGTTGATGTGACGACACCATGATGCAGATTTCCCATTATGGCATTAAAATCATTACACATTACTGTAGTCGGGCTGTCAACTTGATCAACTTGTTCAGCCAGCCCATAGTGGGAGCTTAATGACTGACCTCGAACAGCACACACTTGAACAAACTTTGCATACATATCAATATCGGCGTCTGAATAATTACTTTGAGAATCAACCATCATTTCAACATCATCATTGTTTGATAGTTCGAACGCTGTATAAGTTAATGGCAACAATGATGCTGGAAATATGTACTGCAACGACGACATTCTTCTACTACTTCCAACATGAACATTCCTCGAAATCTTCGTTATTAGCTCCTCAAGAGTTATGTTTCTCTTGAATGATATTTTAACACGCTCATTTGATACGAAAACAACGCCGATTTCATCTTCTCGAATTTCTCTATCACAATAAACAATAGCTGAAAGTCGCGCCATTCTTAGAGTTTAAAAGTGCGACAATATTATATATATGCAAAAAAGCAAGTAAAACAAACCTGCTTAAATAAATAACATATGAACGAAAATATAACACAATAAATTTTTTACACATTAACGTAAATAATTTAAATAATATAATTTTATATTATTACCTGTACCGCAAAATATATTTCAACGTATGCTCCCGCTTTCCCCTTGAACTGGCACATAAATTAATTGAAAACAATTAGTATAATATTTTTTCAAATAATCATAATAAACAATAAATATAATAAAAAAATATTATAACAAAATTACCTTATAACGAAAGATCGAACGAACTTCTGAATCAAATATAAGAGTATTGTCAGATGTTATTTACTGGTTGAAAGGATTATTGTATTAATTTCTCGGTTGAGAGGGAATTATGAGAGAGTTTACAGGGAGAGGGCTATTTATAGCCGAGAGAGGATGCTTTAAAGCCGAGAAGTTCGGGTAAATTATGCACCGCGCGGTCCCTGCACCGCTCTTTGTATTATACATGTCTGATAATTGAGCATGTGATAATTGAAAAACGCGACTCCTGCCCCGCGCTATAGTCCTACGTAGCGTAAGTCGCCCCATAGGGGCCGCGCTTTAGACACGTGTCCATGTCAGCATAAGGCGTGCTGCATGGAGCACGCCTTACCCCATGTGGCGCCAGATCACCGTAAAACGCATTACAGGGAGCGCGCCTTATTACAAAGAATGTTAGATCGAAAAAAAATAATCTAAATAATGTCTAATAAGAAAATATATAAGGTATAAGTGATATATCGGAAAAAACGCAGTTCCTTGGCAAATTACAACATTATCTATATAGCAGCTAAGGCTAAGAGAAGGAATAATTTAATTAAAATAGTGTGTAAGTCTGAATCAACGATAATAGATGAGATTCATTCACCCTTCACGAGGAATCCCGTTTTCATCGCTAAGAACTGGGTCCCGCTCACTCCAACTGACAAAAGGAGATAATGGCTTCGGCCTTTGGGCTTCACTTCAGACTTCAGATACTAATCACAATGCTGAAGAGCCTGTGTTCATCTATTAACATGCCTTTTTCTCCATTATATTTGGATCTTCTAATTTCATTTTTTCTTCTACTTTTTAGTAAACAATTGAGCTCACTGCATCGGATGTTCCCAAACTTTTATTTCTATTATATAGCCATTCCTAATTCACCGGAAAAGAAAAATGTAAAGAGTTAATTTCAACATTTGATTTTTTTCATCTACCTATTCTAAAAAGATATAAAATTAAGAGTTTTACACTGGATGTAAGTGTATCTTAACCTATATATATATATTGAATAACCTATAGTAATTACAAATTAATATTTGTTCATAATCTTTTTAAAACATTGACAACGCATAAATTTAACTGCTTGAACTTATAATTTTTAAAGAGAATAACATTCTCTTCAACTACTTAAGTTACTTAATGAGTTATAATATATGAATGTTAACACATCTAAAGTAAGAAATATATATACATAACAGTTAAACCTAATAATAACTCTAAGCTCATTAACATATATTAATTATTATTTAATGCATTATTTTAAACTTGAATAAAAGAAACATTAAGTATATATATATATATATATATATATATATATTCTTCAATACCATATTAACTTAATTTGGGTATTATTGTTAAGAAATTTCCAATTGCAAAATAAGATAAAACATATCTTGTTTTCATTTGATTCTAAAAGTTATTAAAGGTATTGATTCCTTGCTTAATCTATGCCTCATTTACTTTAGCTTTTGTCAAAAGAAAGGATTAATTCATGATTTGGGCCTTTAAGTGTATCATCAATTTTCTAATTTTGTTACATAATTCTTTTTATTTCACTTTGATATTTAGATTATTATTCCCATCCCAATTTACCCAAAACTGCCAATAGGAGCGTGACAACAGTATATCCTTATTGGATTGCCATTTGCCAGTAATTTTTTTAGTTAAAATAAGATGAAAATGGTAGTTTAGATATTAAAACAGAACAAAAACGTTTCCATGCCAAAATGGAGAAACGTGTATAGTTTAAGGGCCAGGTCGTAAATAAAACCAAACAAAACTTCTCAAACAGTTGACAACGAAAACTGAAGAGATATATGAGGTGAAAGAAAGCAAGAGATGTATGGAAAAAAACTTGTGGACGCCGTTGTTTCCTTCAAGGAAGGAGCCTGCAAGCTGTGTCTGATAACAAGTTGTAATTAAGTTTCTCATCTCCTTTTCAATTCATATCTATATATATATCGATTTCGAAGAGATGTTGGAAGGTAAAGCTGTGATAGAAGACACAGATATGGCATTGGGGATGCAAGCTCGAGCTTTGGCTTCTGCTTCTCGAGCTCTTGATCTCTATGAATTTTTCGACTACATTCCCATTGCTGCATATATTAAAAAGGTTAATCTTCTTCTGCTGTTTTATTTTCTTGGAAAATTTTTCTGGGATTATAACTGTTGTTTATATGAGCAGGATTTTGACAAGAAGTATGGGGGTGGATGGCAATGCGTGGTGGGCACAAATTTCAGTTGTTTCTTCACCCATTCCAAAGGAACTTTCATCTATTTTTCCATAGAATCTCTCAATCTTCTCATCTTTAAGGGAACTCATTCTTCTACTTCTACTTCTACTTCAACTTCTTGATGTGATTCATCGTAGGTTGTTGTTTCTTTGGGTTAGTTTCGTTGGATGTCCCCAGACTAATGGTTAAATTTAAAATCGGTCGGTCCATCCGTTTCCAAAATGTTTCCATTGATCACGATCAAGTCTCTCTGGCATTAAATGTTAGCATGGTTGTGGTTGTCCCAACCCAAGCTGGCATTTAACAAACGACACTTTAGTTTAAAGGTTCCGTTCTAATGTTTCGGAATTTAGGGATCAATTTAAAATTTAACCTAAGTTTTGAGGACGTCTGCGCAATTAACTTTTATTTGGAAAATGTGAATGGATGAAAGATAAAAACTTTGATATAATAGGGAGGTGGGCATCTTTGGACTTTTTTTCTTCCAATGTTGAATGATGAAATATTTATCAATTAGTATGAAGTTGGGGTGTATTGTCTTTTTACTCGAGGAATTGTGTGGGAATTATTAGTTATACCTTCACTATCTGGCATTTTTCTCAGAATTGGAAACTTCATATTCTGTGCTTCTTCATGCTACTTGTGGACTAAATTGTAAGGAAATTAATTTGACGAGGATAAACAACATGAAATACAAAGAAATAAATTTATGTATAAGTTACTTATAGAAATAAACAAATAAATTATAACCATAAATCCATAAAATCGACCATCGACAAATCCGTGTTGGATATTCATATTGAAAATGTCTTGATGTCAAATTTAATATTATATAAAATCATCTCTTAAAAATTCAATCATACTAAATTGTGATAATAGAAGATACAAATATTTAGATTCGATGAGTTTTAATTTGATTAAATTCGACGTAGATAAATTTATTTAAAAATCGAGTTTTAGGTTATGACATGATAATATTTTTTTAAATAAAATTAATTAATTTTAAATTTAAACGTTTATTTTTTTTTTGAATAGTCTAAGATGATTATAAGATATTATCCGTTCAGAATCTTTCTTAGCCATTGATAATACATACACCCTGCAAACACTGCTATTCGAATCTAGATACTCTAAGGAAATCATTTAATAAGTGACTTGGTAGTATCAATCGATAAAATGAATGGCATGATTGTTTTAATTGATAAAAACTGACTTGATTGTAGGCTTGTAGCTAAAAAATTAACACATTTCATTTTTAACGATAGAGTGACTTATTTGTAACCATTGTTCAACCGAATGATCTGTTTGTAACTTTTTGAAATTCAATTATTCATTTTAAATTTTATTAATAATTGAGTGACTATAGTGAAATATACCCTAGTTTTAAATAAAGAGAAAATGTATGTTAAAATTTGAAATAAATAAAAAGCCATATTAAACTTTGACGGTCTTGATTCTGACGTGGACATATCGTGACCGTTAAATCCAAAACATATTTGATCTTACACCGATTTGAATCTCCATTAGTCCGCCCCTTTTATGTTTGAATATCTCTTTCTCTCTGGTTTCGCTTCGTTTCACTTTGCTTTGCTATTTTTTTGATTTCTTATCTTTTTTTCGCAGTGCATTTGCAGATTTAAAAAAATCTTTAATTTCTCTTTAATATCTTCGCTTTGAATCTGCGAATACTCGCGGTTTTGACTTCAACTCTCCACTGATTCTCCATTTCTCGGTCTCCGAAGCTCAGTTCGGTATCGTGTAATTTCTTCTTCTTTTAGGGTTTCTCTTTTTTCATCTTATGAATTTGAAGTTTCTTCAACCGATTTTGATGTTCAAGTTAATTAATGGATGATCGAATTAATCCAAATAATTTTGATAGAATTTATCACAAATTTCAAATATCTGATCTTTATTTTATTAGATTACCTGAATTATGTACAAAAAATTCAAAAGGAACTTTATAGTCAGTTTGAATGATTATTTATCGGTAAAGGAACTATGGAAGGTGACACTACCGTATCGACTCCTTCGGCTGGGCTCAGCAATAGCGATGGTACTCAGAGAATGCGACCTATTCATGGGTATTTATCATTTTTAGTACCTCTTAAAAGTTTTGAAACCATTACTGGGGTTCTTGGGTGTGCTTTCCCTCCCACTATAATTTTTCTATTTTTTTTTGTAAGTAATCTTACAAGTTGCAAGAAACTGATTGTTTTATATGCTGCTGAGTTTGCTTCCTTCTATAGGAGGACTACTGGTCCTACAAGACGATCTACAAAAGGACAATGGACAGCTGAAGAGGTATTATTATCTTTCCGTAGTTATGTTTACTCGATTTTGTTATAAGTTAACACCTTTGTGCAACTTTATTGCCCTTGATGTGTTATGTATTACAGTATCCAATAATTTTAGTCCTGTTGCTCTTTTCCGTCAATACAATTAGTGTTGGTGTTCATTTAGATATGCGTTTGTGTTTTTTGTGTCTATCAGTGCATGTATGTATATACATATTCTTAAATGATTTTTCAATTTGACAACATAATTGTATGGACTGCCAGGATGAGATTCTGCGCAAAGCCGTTCAACATTTCAAGGGAAAAAATTGGAAAAAGATAGGTATGATTTTGAATTGAAGTGGCATGGCAGCCCTTTGTGCGTCATTTTGCACAATCTAATTGTATGGTGGTTCATCTGCAGCGGAGTGTTTCAAGGATCGGACTGACGTACAGTGCTTACACAGGTGGCAAAAGGTCTTGAACCCGGAACTTGTTAAAGGGCCATGGACAAAAGAGGTGATTGCTTTTTCTACTTATTTCTTTCTAGCAGTTTTTTGAAGTGACTGTTATTGAAAAGCAGAAGTTTTCTTGATACTATAACAACATTCTAAGTTGCTTTTGCTAAATATGAGCAGGAGGATGAGATGATTATTGAGTTGGTGAATAAATTTGGGCCAAAAAAGTGGTCAACCATTGCTCAGCACTTACCTGGACGTATTGGAAAGCAATGCAGGGAAAGGTGTCCTGTTGAATATTTAACAATTTTTTAGAGGTTTTACTTCTGGGATGTTATTGTGGACATCTTCTGTCAGTTTTTATGAATTTTTTTGTTGTTGAAATGCTCCTCAATTTCCAACAAAATTAAGGAAAAAATTTCTTGTTTTACGTTTGTGCTCATAAAACTAAGTACTGATGTAGGTGGCACAATCATCTCAATCCTGGCATAAACAAAGAGGCATGGACTCAGGAAGAGGAGCTGGCTCTTATTCGTGCTCATCAGATTTTTGGGAACAGATGGGCAGAGCTCACAAAATTCTTGCCAGGAAGGTACTTATTTGGAGGCCATACCTTTCCATCAATGTTTTGCAGGGTTACGTATGTCTTTTATTCTTCTTACCACTTCCCCTGTAACTGCAGTCTGCAAGTCATCCTCTGATGTTCATCTAAACCCGATTGCTCTGTTAATTAGAAGTTTATATATTTCTTTTGCATTTGAATTTACTGATAACTTGTTTTTTCCCCATCTTTGTATGGGTAACAGGACAGACAATGCCATAAAAAATCACTGGAACAGTTCGGTCAAAAAGAAGTTGGATTCTTACATAGCATCAGGCCTTCTGGAACAATTTCAGTTCCCACTTCTCGCAAATCAAAGTCAGCCCATGCCTTCATCTTCTATGAGGATGCAGAGCAATGCAGATGATAGTGGTGCGAAATGTATGAAAGAAGCAGAAGACATATCAGAATGCAGTCAAGAGTCGAATATGATTGGTTGCTCTCAATCTGCAAGTGATTTAGCTAATGCTGCTGTACATACAGGAGATCAATTACACTTGACTGAAATGCCTGGTGTGGTAAACGAGAGGCATTCCAGTCCAAAACCTGTGCGAAATGTATGAAAGAAGCAGAAGACATATCAGAATGCAGTCAAGAGTCGAATATGATTGGTTGCTCTCAATCTGCAAGTGATTTAGCTAATGCTGCTGTACATACAGGAGATCAATTACACTTGACTGAAATGCCTGGTGTGGTAAACGAGAGGCATTCCAGTCCAAAACCTTGTGCAGAAGAGTATTACCCATCTTTTGAAGATGTCAACTTCTCTGTTCCAGAAATATATCGTGAAGTTGGGTCCAGTGGGAATTACCAGTTTGATGAGCTTATGTTGATAACTGATGATGAATGTTGTAGGGTCCTATTCTCAGTCGCAGTGAATGATGGATGCATTGCATCTGAAAAATTTACGCTAGGGTCTAATATGGTTGAATTGGGTGGCTGTGCAAGTACATCACTTTGTCAGCCTTCAGTCATCCAACAATCTGAAACTGGAAATACTCCAGCCTCTCAATCCGCTCCTCCTTCAAGGTCTGAGGCATTGGCAACCTCATGTTGTCAGTCTTCTGCATCTCCTTCACTTCATTCAGTGGAGGATGGTACACTTATGTATGGCCGAGAGCCCAGTCAATTAAATGGTCAACCTTCTGGAACTCAAGAGCAAGATTTTACTATGAATGGACATGATTGCTTCATCTTTACTAATGATGATCATACAGATGATACAGACCTACAAGAGCAATCTTACCTTGCAAAGGATTCTCAGAAGTTGGTTTCAGTTAATAGTTTTGGTTCAGAATCAAATGCTTTGCTAACTTGCCCTGCTGATGAGGATAAGCAAAGTTCACTGGCAGAACAAGATGCTGGAGGTCTATGTTATGAGCCTCCTCGATTTCCAGTCTTGGATATCCCATTTTTCAGCTGTGATCTTATACCATCTGGCAATGATGTGCTGCAAGAATATAGTCCCCTTGGTATTCGCCAGCTGATGATGTCTTCTATGAACTGCATCTCTCCATTTAGGTTGTGGGACTCACCATCCCGGGACAGCAGTCCAGATGTTGTGCTTAAAAGTGCTGCCAAAACTTTTACTGGCACACCATCCATACTGAAGAAGCATTATTGCGACCTATTATCACCTTTATCAGAAAGAAGGGAGAAAAAGCTGAAAACTGACATTACATCCAGTTTGACAAAAAATTTCTCTCGTTTGGATGTCATGTTTGATGAGAATGTCACTGGCAACACATCTCAGGTGTCTCTATCTGAACATAAAACCAATGCAAGAGCCTCTGATGAAGAAAAAGAAAACTCGTGTCAAGAATTTCAAGGAGAACTTGACAATGGTGAAGATCACACCGAGCCATTCGATGTTGAAGCTCAAAAGAAAGATTCTGATGGAACTGATTTGCAGGGAAACATAAAAAATGAATCCTGTGGTATTGATACCAAGGAAAAAACTGACGCTCATGCTTCCGACAAAATTGTGAGTTTTTCCTCTCTATATTATTTTGATGTTTTCTAGCCCAAGGTGAAGCTGCCAAGATTATATCCATATCAAAATTTTATTCAAGTCATGCATGATGCTGATAGCTCTATGTACAACATACCCTGATTTCTCTTTGGTCTTGTTTTGGAAATCTTGGTCTTAATCATTCTCTCGTTACCGTAGCATTCCTTTTTACTTCCAATGCAGAATTGATTTATCATGCTAATCTTTTCCCTCTCTACTTTTGACAGGTTCAACAGTCTTCGGATGTGCTAATCGAGCATAATGTAAATGAGCTACTATTGTTTTCTCCTGATCGTGTTGGTCTTAAAGTAGACAGGCCATTATTGTCTTCAGGCGTACGAACTCCACAAAATCAGTATCATAAAAGCTCTAGAGCTGTTTCATCAAATCAAGGTCTTGCTTCTGAGTGTTTATCAGGAAATGCATGCTTAGTTGTTAGCTCTCCCACTCTGAATGTAAAGAACAGTGAAGGCCACTCAATTACTGTAACTGCAGTACAGTGTACCAATTCATCGGCAAGTGCAACCCTAGAGAATTTGGCTGATAATGCTGGGGTCGATGCTGCTACTGAAAATTATAACATGTGAGCACCCGCTGCACCCGTTATAATTACAATTGTTAATAGGGTCTTCTATTCAGTGTCTTTTATGTCAGGAGCTGCTTTTCTTTTATTTCTACTTCCAATGCTAAGATAAATTGATTGGTTCTTATATGTGTTTGCTTGACATGGATTGCTAGATTCGCTGGAACTCCATTCAAAAGAAGTATCGAATCACCGTCAGCATGGAAGTCCCCTTGGTTTTTTAACTCTTTCATTCCAGGCCCGAGGATTGGCACAGAAATAACAATTGAGGTATATGACCACTTCAGCCTTAAAGATAGATTCAGACTTTAACTTTCTTTTCTGCTTCTTAATAATCATATGTTATTTCCAGGACATAGGATACGTTATGAGCCCTGCAGAAAGAAGCTATGACGCCATTGGTTTGATGAAACAATTGAGCGAGCATACTGCTGCTGCTTATGCCGATGCCATGGAGGTTTTGGGAAACGTAACTCCAAAATCAATTGTAAAAGGAAGACGTTCCAAGAATTTTCATGTGGACAAAGAGAATAACAGGCTTGAGAGCCACTCAAGTTTGGCTTCAAATATCTTGGTATTACTGAAAAAACATGCTAGTTCTCTTCTTTTTGTTAGTAACTGCAATTCGTTGAAATTAGTATGCCATCTGTATGCAGGCAGAACGCCGACTCCTTGATTTTAGTGAATGTGGAACACCGAGAAAGGAAACTGAAAACGCGAAGTCCTCGACATCCATAGCCGTGAGTTTCTCGAGCCCCTCTTCCTATCTTTTAAAAGGTTGCAGATAGTGCCTTTTTGCTTACCATTTTTTGTGTTTGTAGTTCATATCACATATGTATGCCATCTTATTTTTCATAATCCTTCCATTTGTTGTCGAAAAGAGAACGACTCCAAGTAATTAACTTGATAAAAATATTGTGTCAAGTGCACATAGATTCTTCAGCTCTTTGAGTTGGTGTTTATAGAACAGAGCTCAGCATTTGTTATCGGTTTAATCCAATTTGACCATAAAGAACTCAACAATCCCTTTCTAATATGACCCATAAATAATTCAAACTTAAAATGATTCAAACAAGACCGAATAAATCAACATGATCCCAAATAACACCTACTAGACCAGTCCTTTACGAATTGCCGGTTTTCAGTAAGAAGAAAGACCAAGAGATGATTCTTCCCATAATAACATAAGAAAAGTTTTATATTGTTGGATTCCCTTTTACTAAAAAAGATCTAATTCTAGTTTGAGCCCTTCTACTATGGTTGAATTTTGTATTTAATCATATATCCCTCTACGTTTATATTGTTAAGATTTCGATCACACATTAAGGTTAGATCAAAATTCAGTCAATCATATTCAGTTGATAATAGATGCATATGTTCACACGATGAGTCTAAATCATATTGAGACTAAATCTCAAATTTAAACATAACGATCAAAACAAAAACTTTATATATGTGGGTGTTGAGTGGGCATACAAATTTGTGACAATAACTTCCAACGAAAAAGAAAAAGAATAAAAGAAGAGAACAATTGTAGATATATATACTGATTAAAGCCTGGTTATGGAAATTTGAAGATAATTAGAGTTGAAGAATTGTTATATATCTTATTTTAGTATTTACTTATTCTTTTTATGTATAATCATTAATATCCAATTTGTTGATTGATAATCTGGATTTAGTATTATAAAGACTTATTACGAGAATAAAGACTCTTCTAACCTATTTTTCTCTGTTTACAACGTCAAATTTTGAACCCCTAAAATCTCACGTTCTATTTCATTAGACCAACTAATAATTAATATAGTTGATATTTTATTAATTTCACTTCTAAAAATAATAACTTTAGCTGTAACAAATAATTAAATGAAACCCGAGCTCACGGATGCAGTGCAGAGGATAGAGTTGGTGATACAATTAGAGACGATGTAACAGAAGATTTTGTTCAAACAGACAGCCATTCCCGCAAGTAATTTACTTATATATAAACCTGTTAAACACAGGACGAAGATGTATGCTTCTTCAGAAGATTTTTAAGAAAAAGGTAAAAGAATTAAGTACCAAAATTTTGTCAAGAGGGATTTGAACCCAAGCCCTCATCCGAAGACCAGAACCTGAGTCTGGGGCCTTAGACCACTCGACCATCCTGACATTTGACAAGGATCGAGTCAATATTTGCATATTTATACAATTATGTAACAAGTAAGATGGTAAAAATACCTTCCTAGTCCCTCTATCATAGGGAATAGATCATTTGGTCTATTAGCAAATGTAAAATGTCAGAAATGGGATTTGAACCAACGCCCTCTTTCGAAAACCAGAACTTGTGTTTGGTGCCTTAGACCACTCGACCATTCTGACGACTGATTAAGATCAAATGAAAATCTGATAAAATTACAAAAGTATGCAACAATTATTAAGTAACATGGTAATTATACCTTACTAGTCAGGGATGGACCAAGGGGGTGTGGTCGCACCCCCTAGAAATTTTAATTCCCCTTATATATTATGTATTTTCCTTATATTTTATATGAATTATCTAATTTCGCACCCCCTAACATAAATTCTTACGTTCGTCCCTGTTCCTAGTCCCTCCTCTATCATAGTGAGTATATATTTTGTCCTTATTGACTACATTTGTATAATTGTGACTAAACAAAAAGCTTCCTGATGGTGCATTTTAATGGTGTTACCAGGTGTTTGAGAAGCTTGGACCAAGTTTATTTGATTTTCTAAAGAGAAATAAATACTCCCCATTTCTTGTGTCTTGTTCGGGAATTTGGACGTCACCTTTTGGAATCTGTAGCATGCGTGGATTGTACTTGGCTCAACATTATATCATTTTTCATTTTCCAACGAATCACCTTGTTCTGTTACTTGGCCTTGTTTAACATCTTCCCACGCCTTTAAATTTTGTGGCAGATATGCATGATTTACACTTAATCCATACTGACCTGAAGCCAGAAAATATTCTTCTTGTATCTTCCGAATATGTAAAGCTTCCTGGTTGCAAGGTATTTTGCACCTATAGTAAACAATTTATGCCATTTTCGATCGGGATTAAAAAATTGGTAATGGTAATAAAAAATACTTGGAATGGTACAGAGGAGTTATTTAAATGAAGCGCATTTCAGGTGCTTGCCAAAGTCGAGTGCCATTAAGTTGATTGGTTTTGGTAGTACTGCATTTGATAATCAGAATCATAGCTCCGTTGTCTCCACAAGACACTACAGAGCCCCTGAGATTATTCCAGGTAACTGATTATTGTGTTCGAAAATGAGAATGTATTTTTCCTGTTTACTAATTGGTGTTTTTTTAAGTACGCTAATCGTTGTTTTGGCATCCTTCCAATGCTATCTGTTTGTGTTGACACCCTTTCAAGTATTCTCTCTGTTGTTCTGATGCATTTATAAATACATTGATGCAGGTTTAGGTTGGAGTTATCCATGTGATGTTTGGAGTGTTGGTTGTATACTTGTGGAACTATGCACGGTCAGTCCTGCATATCTTCATATGCATTTCGGTTTGTTTAGGTGTGGAGCTCCTGATCTGACCCTGCTTGAATCATATGTAGGGCGAAGCATTATTTCAAACCCATGAGCACTTGGAGCATTTGGCAATGATGGAGAGAGTATTAGGATCTATTCCTGAGCATATGATTCAAAGGGAAAAGTAAGTCAAGCTTACACTTTAATCTCATTATCAACTGGATTCATCTTACCCTAAATTCAATATGATACAGCCGGAAAAATATTTCCGGAGAGGCTCTAGACTAAATTGGCCTGAAGGAGCAGTATCTAGGGAGAGTATTTGGGCTGTTAAGAAGCTTGATCGCCTCAAGGTCAAATTTCCTTTCATGTGTCTTGCGTTTTATATTTACTTTTCCTTGCTTTGATCAAAACTCGGTTTTTTTATTTTATTTCAGAATATGGTAGGTTTATTAGAATATGATCCGTCCCAACGTCTCACCGCAGTTCAAGCTCTAAATCATCCTTTCTTTGGATCCAAGAAGAAAAGAGTAGGTTACTAATGATTGGATATCTACGGGAGATGAATGGCAAAGGCCATGAGAGCTGAAATGCATGCACATTTGGCAGATGGAACAATTTTGCTTTGAACATCGTAAGAGATGGAGTTTCAAGACTGAATTCGTGTTGTGAATCTGCATGAACTTGGCATAAACTGTAACATTTATGTTTTGTAGTAAAAGCATGTTGCTGCAATCAGAGGATAATGTTAATAATTCGTATACGATTCTGCCCTTTTCATTATATATTTGAGGAAATGACTCGGATTGCTAAATGTAAAAAATGTCAGAAGTGGGATTTGAACCCACGCCCTCTTTCGAAGACCAGAACTTGAGTCTGGCGCCTTAGACCACTCGGCCATCCTGACAATTGACAAAGACCGAGTGAATATTTTTATATTTATACAATTTTACAACAAGTAGGTCTACGCCAAAACTTCTAAAAATATAATTAAAATAGTAAATCCTTTAGTAGGGCTTAAATAAGCCAAGTCGAGCTGAAGTGTTGATGAGCTCAACTCGAAAGCTTGCGAATTTAAAATTTTCAAGCTTCACTCGAAATAAAAAATTGAAGTTAGACTCGATCTCGAACCTTAAATACATGAAAGCCTTGCATTATATATATATATATATTAGATAACATATAAATGTTAATATTATTAATAATTTAATTTAAAAATCTAAAATTTTAATATATTATCTTTTTCGAGTAGCTCACGATATTTTCGAGTCGAGTATTGAGTAGCTCTCGTTGGCTCGTTAAGAATTCTAGTCATGGTGATCCTTATGGATGATCACATGGTTCATAGGGGGCATGGTGTATTTGACACTGCTGCCATAAAGAAGGCGATTTTCCTGATATATCACCGTTGAACAGTATATTTCCCGATCAGGCACCGTTCAGACTATATTTCTCGATCTAACACCCTTTGCAGAAAGGCGCGACCACTGCAACGCGCTTTACGCTGATTTGGTGCCACGTGGTGTAAGGCGCGCCTTATGCTGACATGGTATACACGTATGTACAGGGGTATAGCGCGGTGCAGGGGTCACGCCTTACCCCAGAATCTGCCACGGGTCCGTAAGGCGCGCCCCCCTGCGGCGCGCCTTGGGTATAATTACCCACCTACCCCGACGTTTCACACCCCAATCCCTCCCTATAAATACCCCCATCCTCAATCACTTTCATCGCACCAAATTCTCTCAACTTCTCTCAACTTCTCTCAAATACTCTTATAATCTCTGTCTAAGGTATATTTTATTATATTTTTAATATTTTGTATTTAATTTATTTAAGTATTTAATTTATTTAATATTTTATTTAATTAATTTTTTTACAGATATAAAATGGAAGACGGTTTACTTCGCTTGGATGGAAATCATATATCTCGACACTTTGTTGATACGGTAACATTTTAACATTTTAATTTAATTTAAATTATTAGTAATTATTTGTTGATTATTTAATGCATGATTATTAGATTAAGAATTAATTTTTGTAATTATTTAATTTTTGGAGAAGAACCGTGTATTAGATCTATTTATTAGGAATATTAAGTAAGTGATACCTAGCCGTGTCTTGCTGTATTTAGTAGAGGCTGGATTCGGTTACATAGGTAGATATCAGGGTCATTGTAAGATAGAACCAGACCTTATTTTTGTCTTAGTAGAGCGGTGGAGGCCGGAGACCCACACATTCATTCTTTCGTGCAGAGAGTGCACGATTACACTTGAGGATGTTGCTATGCACCTGGGGCTTCTGGTGGATTGAGATGTGATATCAGGGATCGCGCAGAGTTCCTGGACTGCTTTGTGTCGGGATAATCTAGGACGTGTTCTGGAAAGTTTTAACGGTGGTCGGATACTGTTAAATTGGTTAGATGCCAATTTTTGGGAGTTGAGCGAGGACGCGTCAGATGATGAAGTTAAAATGTATGCACGGGCATGCATACTGTAGCTAATAGGAGGGTTGTTGATACCGGACAAATCATGCAACCAAGTTTATTGTATGTGGTTGCGACATCTGACCGGATCACTCAGTTGGGGCTCGACAGTTTTGGCTTTATTGTACAGGGAGATGTGTCGTGTCGAGCCACTGACTACAGGATAAATACTATCGGCGGATGTCTCCTCCTACAGCAGTCTTGGGCATGGCATCGATTGCCCTTTTTATATCCCGTTGTGAAGAACTCATTCGTATTTCCGCTACTCTTGAGGTAATTATAAAACTGATTTTGTATATTAATCATTTTATATAGCGTATAATAATTTTTTTTCTTGAATAGGTGATCTACTGATAGGAAAAATCATCAGGAGCTACCTGATGATTTAGAAAAATTAGGGTGCTCATCGATCAGAAGGCTGGCACACAGGTATGAATTTAAATGTTTAAAAATCGATTTTAGATTATAGTTATATAATTAGATTATTATTTTGATAAAAATTATATATATTTGTTTTAGTTTGAATGAGTGTCATATTCTAATGATGATGTGAGGATGGTGATCCCACCTGAGTTGAGGGGCCCATCAGATGTTTGGATGGCGATGGTCCCTTTGATATATTATATGACCATCGAGTGACATTCCACTGATCGCATGCTCCAGTAATTTGGTTATTTTAAACCAATTCCGGAAGCACCTCGCAATATGGACGACTTGCATGCCACAGATAAACGCGGCAAGACCGATACAGATTGGCTGGTGAGGCATCATGAGTGGGTCGTGTTGTTGGAGAATCGACATCGGCGCCTTCCCTGTAGAGAGCCCATTTATGTTGATGACTTGATGGTTGGTGATGATTATTATGAGTGGGTTCAACAGAAACTGGAAACCGTTTCTGCTTCCCGAGGATGCACGAGGATGGACCTTTCCATGACGTTGACAGAGACATTCACCGACACAGCACCATCGTCCCCGACTCGTGGACGGAGAGCATGTGCTTCCGGTTCATCCTCAGCTACACCAGCAGGACCTTCACAGTAGCCACCGACTACAACGACTTACATACCGCAGCCATATGTTATGCTGCCACTGCCATTCCCTTATCTGATACCGCCGCCGCCACCATCACCTGGTTTTATAACCCCACCACTGCCACCTTCACAGAGTTATATGACCCCTCCTGGAGGCTATTATGGGTCTATGTTTGTAGATCTGACTTGGGGTTCGTATGTTGGATATTTGGCGGGTTCAACCTCATCACCCATGGTCGCAGCACAGACACCTCATGTACAATTTTCACACTCAGCGATGTCTGGGTTTTATGAGTTTTCCCAGTTTTCGCAGGCTGGTGGGATAGTCAGTCATACACCTCCAGAGTCCTTATTCTATGGAGGTGCTTCATCGTCATCAGCTCCTCATCAACAAAATTTAGCTGCTCAGGACGACGACGACAATGAAGACGATGATGACAGTGAGGAGTCACAACCAGTGATATGAAGAAATCCTCCTCGAGACCGACAGTCACCGCCCTGCGGAACACATTCGTATCGCATGCATCGATAAATTTTGTTTTTTTATTATATTTGTATTTAATACTTTTTATTGTAGTTATTTATTGGACTGTTTATTGTAATTTTTATTATTATTTATCATTTAATACTTACTTTAATTCGTTAATATGGTTGGATTTATTTTAATTTATTTTGATAAATTTGTTGGACTTTTTGTTAATTTATTTTGCTTAATTTTGTTTATTACCATTTAATATTAGTTATTGTAATTTAGTTATCATTTACCATTTAATACTTATTATGTTGTTAATATAACGCCAACGTCCAATCTCGTATAATTATATCATTTTTTTAATCTTCATAAGTGGTTATCGAATAACATTAACTTGAAGTAAATACAAATTAAAGTAAAATAATTATTAATTGATAAACAACTACATCATTTCCTCATCAATTGTTACTTGATGACAACAGAAGTGTACATATTTTTCTAGTGTGTCCTGGGTTTCTACAATGCCCACATCTTCTGTCTTGTCTAGATCTTTCTCGAATATCCATATCGCAATGAATTCGATTGTGTTGAGTTAATCAATCGATGTAATTGGCCAAGAGGGGGGTGAATTGGAAATAAAAAAGTTGGTGGAAGCTTTTGCAGAAAATTAAAAGAAGTTGCACAGCGATTTAGAGTGATTCGACTTTCTCAACCAAAGTCTATGTCCACTACCTTAGCTATCCACATTAAGGATTTTCCAAAAAATTCACTCATTTGTTCTTTCTTTTGAGGCCAAATAGATAACCTTACAACTCCCTCAAGAATGTACCCTAATTCTTGAGAACACTTTTTCTCAAAGAGAAATACACAAATTTGCAAACTTACAAGGAAAAACCTCACAAGGTATATTGTTTGCACAGTTCTAGAACAAAGAAAAGAACACTCAAGAATGAATACAATTGAGTACAAGTAGTGTTCTTGAAAACAAAATGAATATTGAATGAAAAATAGGTTTGAAGTGCTCAAACAATGAGTTTGATGCTTTCTCTTTAATTCTCACTTGATTCTTGTTTCTTGTTATTTCTTGTTGTTGATCAATGGCTTCTAAGCTTGTTTAAATACTCCTTCAATTGATTCTGAACGTTGGGGATGATTAGTGGAGTCAATAGAGCCGTTTGAGTGTGAAAACAATTAATAAAATCAGTTGGGAGCGTCAGTGCATCGATGCATACACAAGGTGCATCGGTGCATCAAGTGTAAAATTCAAATATTTTTACCGTTGAAGCCTTAGTGCATCGGTGCACTAAGAGTGCATTGATGCATAAAGTCATTCGATGTTTCAAAATAGCCTGAGTGCATCAATGCATGTCTTGTGCATCGATGCATCAAATTCATTTGATGTTTTCATAAAATCCTAAGTGCATCGATGCATAAAATGCATTCGATGTTCAATTTATTCAATGATGCATCGATGCATGAATTGGTGCATCGGTGCATCCCTCTGAAAAATTGATTTTAGGCTTGATTTTGGTTCAAAATATTTTGTGAAAATTGTTTCAAAAATATATTAAGTATAAAACACAATTTTACACATTTAGTAAGGTTTGAAATTGATCTTGAAAGACTTGGAGTAATAATTTGATATTTGAGTAATTAAATCGAATATACTTATCATTTGTAAAATCTTAAAATTCATTTAACTTAATTTGTTATATCGAAACATTAAAATGTTTTCAACAATCTCCCCCTTTCTGATACAACAAAACATTTGTGTAATTTTAAGATTTTCTTTAAAAATAAATTTTGAAATAAATTTTGAAATTACTCCCCCTTACTTTAACACTTTCTCCCTTACATTTTCTCCCCCTTTTTATTAAATCAAAAAGACTCTAAAACCGATTTAAACAAGGTTTTGAAAAACACAGCCAATTGATTATAAGTAGATATAACTTAAGCTGCTAAGATCAAAGATCAAGAGAAAGGTTAACCATTAGTTTCATAATCAATATTCATAAACAATGTGAAATGGCAAAAATTGGTCATAATGCAACTAATATGTAAATGATGCAAAAATAAACATTAAGCTCAAAATGAAAGTTAAAATCAAACCAAATGAAAGTTAAAACCAAACCAAATAAATAAGCATGTAAGTTCAAATATCCAATCATCCAACAAATTCAAACATCCAAAATAAAACAATCCATGAACATCAAAATGTTTCACAATTCAAAGTTCTGAGTTCAGGACGATAAACCCATTGGATCGTTTCCTTATCATTTTTCAATCTCGCTTTCTTTAAGGAAGTGAAATTATTTTGGTTTTGGAGAGGAATTAGAATATCAATATTGACCATAAGAACGAGTTTGATAAACAAGTTACTAAGGAGACAACCATAAACCAAAATTTCTATATTCTTGGAAGGAACATTGTTTATGGTATCTACTAACTCACTTCTGTGGCAGATTAATCTTCTTATTATGTTGGATACAATGTATCCACCATATATCTATTTTTCTAAGGGAGGAGAACCTACCTCTGGATGGTCGAAACCATCAAGAGATTAACAAATGAAGGAATAAATCGTGATGAGATGGTAAGGTACTAACGCTATCTTTAGACGTATAGGGTGATACCACAGTCTCATTTCCATTATATAAACCTAATTTATCTAGTCCAAAATGTGTAGCGAATGTGTCGTAGTAAATAAAAACGAATTGACCTAAAAGAATCGAATTCTTATGGTTTCGGTTCGACGCTCGTTTTGGACACATCGCATTAGAATAAAAAAAATTCAGACTAATTGTTGATAAACAATAGGTTTGAGTTTAAAGAGGTTATCAAACTTCCAGGATTTAAGAGTGAGAAGATATTAAAAATTCATATCTTCCATAGCTTGGATCGAAGGGATACACTCTTCCCGGATTTTGTATGACTAAAAACAAGTATGATACCTATGGTAGAGATCTTGTCTAGGACCAGATACATTAAAACAAGAGTTCATAATAGTCATATTTGGGTCATTTGAATTTGGATTTGGATTAGGTGGAGGAATAGGAGGTCGGGTTTGACTCAAGCGACTAGACGATGTCCTAGGTTGTTTAGGATTTGACATGGTTTAAGAAATCAGAAAAGGATAGGTAACCTGTAATTTAAAACGCAAGTATGCAATTTAATCAATCCCAAAACTCAATTGAGTCCGCAATAATTCAAGGTTCTCTAAACCGAATCCTAATGAGCATAGTTTTGAAAAACTATTTAGAAAACAATGTTTGAAAAATATAATATGTATAGTATTTCATTAAAACAACATAATTAAATCAAAAACATCAAATTTAAAAATTAAATTTTGATTTTTGATTTTTTTATTTCGAAAATTCATTGAAATATTGTGAGTTTTTGATGAAATTAGTTGTAAATTCTAGTTTGTAATCATCAAACAATCAATGTCCGATATAATGTT